TAATTACCCCTATCCGAGATGGTCGCTCACACCATAAATACTGAGCACGTTTTCGCTCGGGATGGTGCTGTCACTTTTGTGGCAAGTGAACATATCAGAAAAGACAAAACTTGATCCAAACCATATACTTGAATAGAGCACGCATAGACGGCAGATTGGCTTGAACGTAACATATGCAAAACATACAGGGGCACGTAAAGACGTAAATGCACATGGAGTTGGTAAGCAAACCTTACCTTCCACGCGAAAGACGGAGTTGGTCGAGAGAATTACCCGAACTCTTGCTGTCTCCTAGGTTCGTGAAACGAACGTGGAGCAGGTGACACTAGTCGTACGGGCCAGTGCCAATCCACGATAATACGAGAACACCTGCCGGCATGGCTGGAAAAAGGTGAAGTCAAGAGCATACGCAATTCCGTGGTTGATTCTGGGCGTTGTGTGGACCCCTACAAAACCGTTCATGTGATCCGTGAGGTCCCACCTAACTATGCCAAACAGCCGCATACTAGAAGCCGCAGAAGAGACTGCTATCAAACTGCGGAGGCCGTCTCTATGTGTACAGAAGGGCTTCCTCCCCGCTCCACGTCTACCTTGACTAAAGATCGATTAACTACATGCGCGCACATCTGCCCCCCGTCCCCCCCCCCCCCTCATGTGATATGGCCCTACGCAACCCTCACACTGCCACTTACTGCCTCCTCCTTCCCCCCACCCACTCCCTCCCCCCACACTCCACTTGAAAGAAAAGACGAACCTTAATCGATTTCTCTTATCGCTCAAACCTATAACTTCATGCCTCGTTCCCGTACAAATGTAGTGAGCCGACGAGGATTTATCGTAAACACACGGATGCTAGCCAAACAGTCTTCCAAATTGCCTCATGGGAATTTTTGGAACTCAAGAACAGTTTAACGAGTCGGCAATGCTTATTTCTGTGGGTTTATTGGTGTTTAAGAAACTGAATTTTTGACCAGCTTCTTCAGAAGCATTTTATAAATGATGCCTGCCTCACTTTTACTCAAGTGATTCTATTCGTCCATCAGGAGATACTGAGTTTTCGGATTACGAGTAGACGCGTTGTTTTGCATTGTGAGGCCGGTTACCGTTTTATATTACCCAACGAATAAAGGTGAGCTTAAAATCTATGAATATGAAAGATAGTGACATAAGGAAAACAAACTTGGGCTGGCCTTATCTGATGCATCAAACTCCACCAGGGAGATAAACCGGCCATGCAATCGCACTCTACCCGACATGGGTGCGCAGTATAGCCACCGCCTTGGTGATATACTTGCGTATGATGTTCTAAGTCAAGACCAAAATTTGCCGCTTTATCAAATTCGTCCTAATGATTTATTTTACAATCGGCTTCGTACTCTGGAGAGTCAGAGCTGTACAAAGTTCTTATTAGATAGGGGCCATCGCAGCCTGGCCGTCGTTCAAAATGACGGATGGAGAGACGGAAGACCTCCCGGCCGTTAATCCTAGCTTGTCAGGGTTATTATTGGTATCGCTAAAGGGTATCACGAAAAATCATGCTAAAACATAAGTTTTTCTCCCCCTCCACTCTGTCTCTCATCAAAAATTGTTTACCTTGGCGCAAAGCCTCTGCTGTTGAGTAATCGCAAATGAAGACCACTTACTGAAAAATCATACTCAAGCATTGCACGCCAGACCTAAATTGTCAGAACCGATGTCAAGTAGTCGCCCTGCGTACTCGCTACAACTCGTCTTACGATCTAAGCACGTACCCGATATCCAAAAGAAGTATTAGCATGAGGAAAGCGTCATGCTGTGGTTTGTGTTCAAATATGTAAACTGCAGTAAAGGCCTACATCCTCCTGTGCACGAAAAGCTCCGGGGATTGGTTACATAAGTGAATAAATTGTAGCACCACCCAAGAAAATGCATATTCTGCAACATCAGTTAATGTTTCATTTGCTGTACTCTTAATGGGTATTTAAAGAAAATAGGTATGGCAGTGATTTGCAAATTTGCGGTCAACAATTGTCGACAGAATGCTGCGTGCGATGCCCGTTATATCGATGTTCACGAAATTTGAATAGTAGGCCAGACAGGTAGGACAAACTGTTTATTGAAGCTCTTAACTCTTATGACATTGTTCAAAATTAGCGCACGGGACCCGTCCTTATCGATTTAGACCGAGTTTGAATGGTAGACATCGGCAATAGGACCACAATGCTAGCTAGGATCAGACATCTTGGTGCGATGTATGTCAGATTGGCAGAAGAATACATGAGTTATCTCACAACGCATATTGCGTTGGCTTATGATGGAGGCGGAGAAGAGGGAGAAAGAGGAATAACAGCAAGAAGAGTACAAGGCGGAGGAGCAGGACAACAAACAAAGCGCGGAAGATGTGTAGCAGTTCTGTAAGTTTCATCTGATAAACACTGCTCATCGCTTGCTATATGAGTGACTACAGTATTTAACTGCTCAGGAAAGATGATGACGAATTTAGGTAGTCTTTAATAGTTGCATATTTTCTGAGCTATATAAAAGGTCTTTTGGGCATATTAGGCATGAATCGGGGAACTGAAAGTCGTGTCGTTCGATTGCCTAGGAAGCATAGGAGTGTAGAACAATAAATGATTGCAGGCGCTGCTCTATATTGGAAAAAGAAACCCCGAAGAATTATGTCAATTGGGTTTGTGAATGGCTATATGGTCTGCCATGAGTAACAAGCCCACAGGATGTGTGATAGCAGTTCCTGTGTTTCAAATGTATTTCAGATGCCATTGAGTTGAACTGCTCAGAGGAGATGATGGAGGAAGTGGAGGACGGAACAGTCTTCCCGATGTGCAATGCCGACAATGGCGTCAAGGAATCCTTGAAATCTGTGATTGTAAAAGGAGGAGGGACACGAGAGACGACAGATAAACGGTGTGAGGCAGACGAGGAGAATTTCTGGAAGTTCCATTTGAGTGCCTACAGGGTTAAATAAACACTGTTTAAGAATAGAAGGATCAAAAGAAATAAGGTCGAAGTTAACTAGGTGGAAATTACAAAAGTTTGACTTTCAATAGTGACTCAGTTTCGGCAATTTACTCAGGAATGTCTAATTTATTTTATGATATGATCCGCTCACCAAATATGGAGGCCTTAAATAGGAACGCCCTTTTTAGATAAAGTCCAAATCTATTACTAAAGTCGCATAAAGTTGCCGCATTATGCTACGTGGAAATAAAGACTACTTACTAGAACATTATACGCAAGGTACGCCCAACTGAGATTACGTGCATAACTTAACTATTAAATAAAAATGCTCATTCAGGAAAATTCGCAGATAGGAGCAACTTCCCAAAAGCGATGTACGAAACAGGATTCCTCAGCATATTCATCATATGATCTAAGGATTCATCATATGATCTAAGCAGACATCAGATATCCAGAGGAGATGTTCATATCAAGAAAACAGCCATCTTTTGCTTTATATAATTTGTATTAATTAATTAATTAATGCAAAATTAATGCAGAAACCAGCCTCCTTATGTGTATGGAAACGCTACGGAATTACGTTACATGACGTTTTGGACTGAAAGTTAGACAACTCGGATAGAATATAATCGTTAATGTAGAAATGACCAACTATTTGTGTGAGTAGGACGCTGCGACCATTCCAGCCCGTAAATAGGGAGCCGGTGCAGGGAGTTCACAGGAAAACAATACTAAATCACTCGAACAATGCCATTCAACTAGAAAGCGGTTGAGTTTATCGTCAGCAGAATGTAGTAATACAAGGAGTCGTAGAATCGTTAATAAGAATTTTCAGCGGCTTATTAAATTTGGACCCGGGTCTCCCTCAAAAGCCGCTTACCATCCGCCAGGCACTCAAGAAATGGAAGGTTAGAACAACGTCCAGTCGGCGCTTCGAACCAAGAGTCGGAGGGGAGAGGTTTCACACCGTCGAGCCGATCGGAGCGCTTCGCGCCCTTAAAGATTGCTGATAGAAGCGAACAGGCGAGTTCCAGGTAGCAGTTCAGAAGACGAAGACGCGATCACTGGAACAATAAATTTAGTGGCCTGACGTTTCGGATTCTCACTCGAATCCATCATCATTGACAGTCGCAGATAAGGGTAATGGTGGCACAATGAGTGCAGTGTTTATAGCACGTGGCTGCCGTGGGATCAAATGAACACTGTAATTAACAGGTCTCGCATTCACCGCTGGGGTTGCAATTGATGCAATGTTGGCTTGTCAGTCCGCGTCCGAGTCGGCAATCGCCGTGATTTTGTCGTCCGTCCTGGATGCTGGTGTGACGATTGCTCGGCAAATTGGCTCACTGTCACTGGGATAATTGCTCGTCCGCACCCTCCCCACGTGACTGATTCTCCTGCCCAGGGAAAATCTCAGCATGGAATACGGTACCGGGAGGTCATTAGATTGTTGATGGACTGCGGACCTGAGAACCATGACTCGAGCAGCATGCGGCCCACGCGGTTATCACCCGCTGCAAGAATTTCGGCAACTTGAAACTTGAAAATATGGCCGGGTCCCGTCGAGTGCGCCGCCACCTGACAGCTGGGGTCTCCCGCCTCACTGCTGCTGCGTGCTCAGCAATTCGCGTGCGGAGCAATTGATCAGTTTCTCCGACGTAGTTGCTTTGCCCGCAACTGCATCAGATCCGGTAAATGACTCTAGACGTTTCCTGCCGTGGCAGTGGCTCTTTCGGCTTCATGACTTGGCGCCTGAGGATTGCTTCCGCCCTGTGTGCAACCTCAATTCCAAGTGGTATAAGAAGACGACTGACGGCTTCCGAGACGTTCGTCACGTACGGAAGTGCCTGCCAAAAGTTGAGGGCGGTTGGATTAGGTCTCTGGTGTCGTTATCGTATGCATTGGTTGACAAAGTTGCGCGGGTAGCCTCAGTACCCATCGACGATATGGCAATTCAGCAACCTAGTCTTCTATTACACTGCTGTGCGTCTCAACGCGCAGGTAAAGTGCCCTTACGCAACGGCTTTTGTGACTGATCAGGTGGTTGCTGTTGAAGTTCAGCATTTGCTTCGTATATATCGCTTTCCTGAACACTTTATTTTTTAGGCCATCACAAACTTTGCGACAGACGAAGTCATCCAGGAGGGCCGGCTGGTTGTTTTCTTCCTCCTCCATCGTAAATTGAATGTCCGGGAAGACGGCGTCGAGATGTTCCTTGAATGTCAGCTCCTGATCCCGTTCGATGACGACGAAGGTGTCATCCACATACCGAGCCCAAAATTTCGGTCTGTGGTGTCGGAAAACCAGCGACTCCAACTGTTGTAGAACCGCCTTGCATTGGCGTTCCCTTCACCTGCTCGTAGATTTTTCCGTCGAACGTAAAGTACGTCTTGAAACAGAGCTTAAGGAGAGGGATGATTTGGACGCGTCCGAGACGATTGTCCCTTTCGTCGTTTTTCTCTCGTAGGAGTGGTTTCGATGGTCTCGACCGCCAGGTCCTGCGGGATAGAAGTAAAAAGGGACGTGACATCAAAGGAAACTATGACATCGCTCGGCAGGAAACTTACTCCATTGAGTTTCTCCAAGAATTGTGTTGACGAGCTGCATGTGGTGTTCGAGTCGAAACTTGAGACGCCGAAACAGCCACTTTGCCAGTCCGTAGGTTGGAGTGTCCTTTAGTGATGCCATAGGCCGGAGAGGAGCGCTCTCTTCGTGTACTTTTGGGCTAGGGACGTTTCGTGTGCTCCCAGCATGCGTTGGTCGATTGGCGATATTGACATTCGAAGTCTTAATAACTTATTCAAGTCAGAAACTAACGCTGAATATCCACACTTCGAATTATAGAAAATTATAAAATGGTCCCGTAAAATCATTCTGCATTATGCCTGTATTAGCTTGCCCACTTAGCATTACTTGCTAAAATTTCAGACTTCAGAGCTCAACCATTGAATAAATACGTTCAATTAGCAAGGCTGATGTACGCATTTAGCTCCGAGCTATCTCGGCAGACAAGCCACGGATTTTACTAAACGCAGATATTGAGAAAACAACAATAAAACTTGCTAATTTACTTTCCAAAGGGAGTCTGAGGAATAAGGGAACAAACTGTTTTATGGGCATCCATGTTAAACAATTTCATGAATACGCACTGATTTTATTCAAAGCATTATTGAATTTTTGTGTACATGACTGTCGCATACCTCCACCTGAGATCCCGGCTCATACGGAATTTTAAATAAAACCCAAGATTACCCTTTATTACGTTGAAAGATGTTAAGAGACAGCCAGGAGAAAAGGAAGAATGCATTTGAGCTTTAAGAGACCAAACAGGCAAATTCTAGCGCAGTCATCGTTTCGAGCGTAGGTGTAGGATTTGGTTATGCAGTAGATTTCCTTTTTATGGCGATAACAGAAAGACTGGCGATATATAGATCAGTACTTGATCTGCCATGAATGTTTGATCATCATTTTATTGGCATACACATAATTTTGGACTTGGGTGTTTGATGTGCAGATTCATATTCTACGAAATAATATTTGAAAACCTGACCTCCACTACTATTCAGATAATCAGCATGATTCCAAGGAGGAAACTACTAGATGTATGGCGGAAGCCAGTGAGAAACCGGCTTTTGGGTGGTTCGCAGCAGGTGTGCTCGCAAAATCCTCAAGAAGGGGGCCAAATCTGCAACAGTTCTGAAGGTAAAAGTGACCCGACACAAATCGAGGCACTTTTGTTACTTAAATTACTTAGTAGGTTGTACAAAATTCCAATTTTTGGCAACAGGGGTTATCGGCTTCGGTTGGGTTCAGAGTTGCCGTTGGGACTAGCATCAGTGATTTGCTTTTGTCTGTGTTCCGAAGACACTTCCAGCAGTCATAAAAGTCTAATTTACCCATACACGCCGAAGGCCTACTTCAGTCATTTTACCAACTTCCCTGACATCAGCCCTGTCACCATTGTCGGTGGCATCGTCATCATCATCATCATCATCATCATCATCATCATCATCATCATCATCATCATCATCATCATCATCATCATCATCATCATCATCATCATCATCATCATCATCATCATCATCATCAGCAGCAGCAGCAGCAGCAGCAGCAGCAGCAACAGCAGCGGCAACATCACAACCATCGCCCACAGTTCAGTCGTCGTTTCTGACAATGCCCACCATGTTCTCAACTGCAAGGTGGAGCAGGGACGGTGACTTGTGCGTGAATAACTTTATAGTGAATGTAAACTTGCCCAGCGTCTACGGTACTCCCTCCTCCCCCATCAGGATCCGCTGTCAATACAGAATAGAAAAGACCGGAGGCGGACGAGGACGCTGGTAGATAGCACGGTCGAGTCCGCACCATTGTGCTCCACTCCTCATCCCCTGGTCCACACAGCACATGACCGGATTTTTGACCAACAACAACAACAACAGTGGAGGCGGCAGGGGTCTCTAGGTGTGCAACGGCTGCCGGCAACCCGGTCTGCCACCGCTCCCCTAATGTTGGCATTTGTTTTGTTGAACAATCCGATAACGCCTGCCGGAATCCGATATGACCCCTAGGTTGGTCCAGTGCGTCTACCCCCTGGCCCGTTTGGGGGGCACACAGTCACCACCACCACCACCACCACCACCACCACCACCACCACCACCACCACCACCACCACCACCACCACCACCACCACGATCATCATCCTTATCGCCATCACTAGCGGTACTAACAACACCTTTTTGCCGGCAGCAGCGCCAGCACCACCTCGGATATGATCATCTGCAGTAGATGCTTCTGGATAAACTAACGCGCTATGTTATTGACTTCAATACAGCTGACAGCATCCTGCATTGCCTCATCTGTGAGTTACTACCCCTGTATCTGTCGGGGTTGACCTTAAAACGGGCTGCACGTAGATGCGTTGGACCAACACGGGGACTAGACCGGAGTCCGGCAGGCGACATCGGGAATGCGCACCCATAATAAATGTTAATACTTGGCATTTGGCGGTAGACCTGGTTGTAGAGACAGGCCGTGCCACTTGGGGTCTGTGATTCCCCTCCTTTTTTCTTGTGTGTAACCCTGGTCAATGAACGTTGTTGACCAAGGGCCGTGGTAGCACGCCATGGGGCAGGCCCTTGCCGCGCCATCCAACTGCGCACTCTCGCTTCCGGTCTCGTCGACTCTGACTTGACATCGGGGGATTAGTGGTAGTGCGGTAGATGCAGCGCAAGTCCTATGAACCGATTCCTGCGCAAGTCCTCGTCCATGCTCTCATCCAGTTATGGAGCACACGGCCGTCCTTAGTCAGAACAGTCGAATTGCGTCTTATCTCGACACGATATGCATGGGGGTGGAAAAATCGGGCATAGCCATCAAACGAACATCAGGGTCTCTAGAAGGTGTCTATATCTACTTTGACATTAAGATAGTTTGAACAGGTTTTGGAATCAGGCTATTCGTGTTTTGGAGAAGTGTGTTTTGGATTGTGTTGCCAAGGCACATTAGCTGGCGTCGCCAAACAGTGAAAGTTACTACGGCGAAAATGTGCGTGACTGCTACGGAATGTTGAGTTTATTTCGCCTCGAAGCGACTAAGGAGTTCGGTACAGCTTTACTGAAGAATTTAACGATTATCTGCTCTGTCGATATTTTGCCTAGGAATTCACCGATACAAGCGAAGATGCGAGTTCCAGGCACTAGTTGACAAGAAGAAGAAGAAGAAGAAAAAAAAAGAAGAAGCGATCGCTGGAACAAGGGCTTTATTCGCCCGACGTTTCGGGTTCTCACTTGAACCCATCATCAGAGACAGTGGCAGAAAAGGTTGACTCGTAAACGAAAAAGTGCCAGTGTTTATAGGATGCAGTCGGCATGCTGCCGCATACCAAAATTATTAACCGCGCTCCCTTATATCAAGAATTATTGTCCGCTGATACGCTAGTTGCTTGATAGCCGGCATGCAAGTTGTCAATTGCTGAAATCTACTCCTACGAAGCAAATACAATGAAACGGAGAATCGTCTCGGACACGCCCAAGTCCTTCAGCTCCTAAAGTTCTGTCTCAGGGCGTACTTCACGTTTGACGGAACAATCTGCGAGCAAGTGAAGGGATCACCAATGGGCTCGCCGATTTCGGGATTCATCGCCGAGGCGGTCCTACAGCGGTTAGAGTCGCTGGTCTTCCAACACCACAGACCAAAATTCTGGGCTCGGTATGTGAACAATACCTTCGTCGGCATCGAACGGGATCAGGTGTTAACGTTCAAAGAACGTCTTAACAGCGTCTTCCCGGACATACAATTTACGATGGAGGAGGAAGAAATAACCAGCTGGCATTCCATGATATCCTCGTCTGTCGCAATGCTTGTGGTGGCCTAAATACCAAAGTGTTCAGAAAAGCGACGATCACGACGCAAATACTGAACTTCAGCAGTAACCACCCAATCAGCCACAAATGCAGTTGCGTAAGAACGCTATTAAGGCGTGTTGAGACGCACTGCAGTGAACCCGAAGACAAGGTTGCTGAATCCCAATATCTTCGACGGGTTTTCTGAGAAAATGGTTACCCGCGCAACTTCGTCAACCGGTGCCTGCGCAAACGAGACAAACGACAAAATCGCGCGGACCCCAAATTCTGGCGAGCGATCCCGTACATCAAGAACGCCTCCGAGGCCGTTAGTCGTCTTCTTGCACCACTTGGGGTTGGAGTTGTGCACAGACCGGAGGCCACCATGAGGCTTCAGGTGATGAGACCAAAGGACCCACTGCCATGGCAAGAAACATCTGGAGTCGTTTGCCGGATCTGGTGCAGTTGCGGACAAAGCAACTACGTCGGAGAAACTGGCAGACTGCTCCGAACGTGAATTGCCGAACACGCGGCAGCGGTACGGAGAAATGACGCCAACTCTCAGGTCGTGGTCCATTCGACGAGACCCGGCCACGCACTCAAGCTCGATAAGGCCGAAATTCTCGCGAGAGAGGATAATCGCGTGAGCCGCGATTGCTTGAGTCAGGGTTCACGGGCCCCCATTCAATCAACAAGTGCAACGACATCCCACTCCATATTCCGTGCTGAGGCATAGTCTGGCCAAATTAACTGACCACTCGGGGAGAGCGCAAGCCGGTGAGCCAGATGACCGGGCCATCATCACGCCAGCATCCAACACGAGTGATGAGATTTCAGCCATTAGCTCACCAGCGGACAACATAGCAACTGCATCCTATGACTACTGCAACTTTTTGTGCACGAGTCAATGTTCCTGATAATAGGTTCAAGTGAGAAAACGAAAAGTCAGGCGAATAAAGCCCTTGTTCCAGCGTTCGCTCCTACTTCTTCTTCTTCTTCTTCCTCTTCTTTTTCTTTTTCTTCTTGCTCTTCTTCTTACGAATTCACCGTCAATTCTTATGTTTCTGGGTTTTTGATTACCCGAGATAGCACCATTTTACGGGGCGTTAATGCTAGTGCTTTCTGACAGTGACCGTTGAGAAGATGAAGATGCGATCACTGGAACAAGACATTTATTTGCCTGACGTTTCGGATTCTCACTCGAATCCATCATCAGAGACATTCACAGATAGAGGTGAAGGTGGCACCAGGAGTGCAGTATTTATAGCACGTGGCTGCCGTGGGACCGTATGCGCACTGCAATTAACAGTTCTCGCAATCGCCGCTGGGGTCGTAATTGATGCGGCGGTGACTTGGCGGTCCGAGTCCGAGTCGTTAATGGCCGCGATTTCGTCATCCGTGCTCGATGCTGGTGTGACGATTGCTCGGCAAACTGGCTCACTGTCACCGTGATAATTGCTCGCCCGCGCCCTCCTCACGTGACTGATTCTCCTGCTCAGGGAAAATCGCAATACGGAATAGGTCACTGTGTTTGTTGATGGATTGCGGGCCTGAGAACCATGACTCGAGCAGCTCGCGGCTCACGCGGTTGTCACCCCTTGCGAGGATTTCGGCCTCTTGAAATTTGAAAATATGGGCGGGTCCCGTCGAGTGTGCCGCCACCTGAGA